CCTGTGCATTGGCGCTGGACGAGCTCAGCCAGCAGAATCACAAGATAACAGGACGGACTGTTTTCAAATGGACTCAGTGTACTGGTGGGGTTGTTCCATGTGGAGTCAGCTCAAGTGTGTCACGATTTCTTATTTTATGTACATTTGAATTGTTCTTAAATAAATTAGGCAGTATGGGGTAAACTGTGTTTGAGACTCGGTGTGTTGATTGAACACTTAAATTGCTTAGAGCACGAACCTTCGGGTGCGTGGTAACCACAAACCCCCCCGTGTCACACAGGAACCATGCTGTGGTTCCTGCTCCCCAGTTATGAAGATTTGCTTATTTTCTTCGTCTTACTCTATGATAAATTGAACATTTTTGTTGATCAAAACAAGCAATTTGATGACATCACCTTGACTTATGTCCACACTGATGTTTATAACATTTTATTTCCAAAGAAATTAAATGAGAAATAACTTATTATTGGACAGTGAGAAAATACTCCTTCGTTGACAAGAAGTAATGTAATTTTTTGGTGGAATAAAAACTAAACTACGTTGTGTTGTGACATTTTTGACATTGTGGGGAAAACCACATAGCCTGGGTTAGTGGTCACATACTCATTATAACATTATATAATAAGGGATATGAGAAAAACAAGATATTTAGAGCTTTTTATTCAACACATTTTTAACATAACTGGTGAGCGTAGTGTGTGTGTGTGTGTGTGTGTAGGGGTGATCCAAGCATCTAATTTAATGTCAGTCATAGTAGTGAGCATAATACTATTTAATAGATCCTGATCATTTGCCTTATACTTTTGCACCAGGTGTAAGAGATTAGATCTGGTTAATCACCTGCCACATTGGGAAAGAGCAGAAATTAAATACAGAGAAGAAATTTAATACATACGTGAATAAACACTTTTATAGACACACGCACATAAAAATCCTTCGTCAGGGCCTACTGATGCCTGTATAGACAGCATGGCGCTCTCATTTTTAGGCATGAACTACAGATCTGCCTTGATGGCCTACATTATGTATCAGGTTTATATATAAAATTAGTATTCACATCCTATACTGATAATGATCTTTTAAATTCTAAATTTTCTTGCACACCAATGCTCTCTGGTTTTCACAGTACTGTACTGATTTGAATTATTTAAAAATCACAGAAATCTACAACAATGTACCATTAATGAACTGAAACTTTATCACATTCTGGATTTTAAAATACAAGACAGTAAAACCTGTGATGTACTATATTGGTGTAGCACAGTCTGAAACGGGTAGTGAGTTAGCCGTGCTCTCTGCTACGTCTCCAAAACAGTCTTTTGATTTAACTAATATATTTCCCTAAGTCTATGTTGGACCGTGACTTTAAATTACCCTTTTTAAACTATGTGTAGTCCTTGGTCCTGCGTGTTCTTTCATGAAGCAATAGGAGAAGATGTTTTTGGTCCCAGTTAATCAGTTTTATTACAAGTAAATGAACAAAGCTTACAGAGCTCTGGGTCGATCTTCCTTTCCCTGACAAACAACAAGCTGTATCAGTTCATGAAGTCTGACTGGCTATCTCTCCCTGACCCAGTATTTTAGTGTACATCGTCATGTCATAAAACAATAAAACAAAAGTGTAGGTCAGTCCATGATTGGCCCAAGTCCTCTGACCCAAATGTTTGTCCTCTGACTCCACGAATCGCCATGCTGTTGCTGGGCAGATTACGAGCGTAGCTCCTGAAATGAGATATCTTGGAGAAGAGATGTTTGTACCACATTCCAAACTACCCCTCACACTGGGTGAGGGGTGTCCTTATCTATCATGCAGAGACCCTCTGTTTCTTCACCTCTCCAAAAAACACACACATCAGGTCTAGTTTAATAAATGATAAACCAACATATAAACTTCTACCTATAAAATAAATCAGAGATCAATATAAGAAAACACAATAATTTTGGTTACCCTGAGTAATACAAAAATTCATATCCCTCATCCCCGCGACCCTGTATGCAGGATAAGCGGTTGACGATGGATGGATGGATAATCCCTCATCTACTATGCATATTTCTAAACATTAATCTGTTAATTATGCAAGAAAGTTAAATTTACCCACAATAAAAAGGTTAAAAAATCTGAAAATTATAAATTTATTTGATCAAAGTTTTCAGACAGCTTTCTGAATGGCCACCAGCAAACATGAACATATGGATACTCACATCTCAGTATTCAATTGGCTTAAAATTACACGAGGAATATAGAAACAAACGCATAAATAGTTTAAGATATCAAATACGACAACACATTTTTTTTTATTTTTTTTTTTTACATAATTTGAACTCAAAGTTGGTGATGTAATGGGTACATAAGCTTAATAGGTACGTTTACCCTATATTGTAGAATAACACAATGTTTGAAATTGCAATAATATTGTATTTCGATTTAAGTATCGTTATCATTTGGTATCGTGGGTCTCTGGTGGTTCACAGCCCTAGTGGTCTCACTGTGTGTGACAACAGCAGGATTTTGGGGAAAGGAGGGGCTGATCAGTGTGTAGACGCAAAATAACATATGGTGCTCAGAATATAAAGTTACTGTTGTCCATAGGTACCGCTAGACCCTGTTTTCATGTGCTATGCCCCAGTAAAATGGTCAAGAACCTGTCATTTTTGGGCTTGTAGGGCTGCACGTCCAGTAAGCATATAAAATGGATACAACAGAATAAAATATCACAATACAAGAATGCAGAACAATAATGTGGGCAAAAATCTTTATAGAAATAAACATTATTTTTAAAGATTATTCAACTGCAAGGAATACATTTTATTTACATAAATATTGTACTTATTTGTCCAATAACATCGTATGTTTAACTTTTGCTGCACTGAGCTGTGGTTACCTTCCAGCTTCTTCTGCTGCGCCATTACTTTATGTTACTGTCATCTTCTTCTTCAAATCACGCATTCTTGTCTGATGAACTTTTACCTACACGAGCCCCTCTCCACGCCACGCCGCTTGATTTGTAGGGCTCCGCGGTCTGTTAGCAACAATGCGTACCTATACGCGCGTGAACAAAATGAAACTTTGTCGGCATTTAGTTACAACTCTGGACTAATGCAAGATGGTAAGCAGTGGATTGACAGTGACTATTAAAATGTTGATTAGCAGGGCAGACTGGGATAATAGGGATAGACACAAGCATCACATATTGGGGTGGTGATGGCAAGACACTTAACCCCTCGTTGCTCCAGAGGCGTGCGACCTCTGACATGTATAGCAATTGTAAGTCGCTTTGGACAAAAGCGTCAGCTAAATGAATAAATGTAAATGTAATATTCAGTCAAATCAAAGTATAAACATATTAAAATAATAATATGAAATATAAATAAATTGATCCCTATAATTTGCAGGGGCTATGCTTAAAGGTTCAGTGTGTGATGTTTCTGGGGATCTATTGACAGAAATGCAATATAAGATCCATAACTATGTTTTCAGTGGTGTTTAATGAGCTCACATAATGAACCGTTATGTTTTATTACCTTAGAATGAGACATTTCGATCTACATAACTGCGGGTCCCTCCATCTATGGACGTCGCTGTATCGTGTCGTCACATTTCTACAGTAGCTGACGACGGACAAACAGCGCTATAGAGCGCGTTTCATCATCACGCTGTTCTTCTTCTGCTAGTATAATTCCGGCAGTGTAGACGCACGTCACTACATTAAATGCGTACGAAGAAGAATAAACAGTCTCTGATTAGTCTTCTGGTTTATTAGAAGTAAGAAAATAAGTGACATTTGGACAAATGAAGGAGAAAATGGGTTATTTAGCACAAGACCCGACAGCCTGTGGATCTTCATGTGAGAAGGCCAGTCGGAGTCGGGGCAGATACAGACGGATGAGGGCAGAAATCATGGATATGATTGGTTTGGATGTTCTCAGATGGAAGGCTCTGATGTGGGACATGTTTTCAAAGCGCAGCTGAAGTTGTCTGTTTTCTGTTGGACAGGTAATCAAGTTGTTGGACTTTAGTGATGCAAAAGAAAGGTGTTGTATGACAGCTTTAGCTTGAAGCTGAACATATTCACAGAAAGACGCGACATCGCGTTTGGCTCTGCCGGTTACATTAGCAAACCAATCGGCTGATGAGTAATTGGCAATAAAACGGTAACGTTAGCTTAGAGCATGGAAGCTCAGATCAGCCAGCTAAACTTTTAGCGTGCTGGTAGAAAAATATGTAAAAGGGAGTCCCTAAGTGTTAAAGGGTTAGAGTCCCTTAGGGTTAGAGTCCCTAAGTAACTAAAGGGGGGATAGAGTGGGAGATGGGGAATCAAAGGAGTAAAATAAGCAAAGGTGGGAGAACTGCCTTTTTTTTTTTCTGTTTAACTTCTAAAACTTTTTCCCTGTTGCTTTTATGTTTTATGTAAAGCAGTTGAATTACCTTGTTGTTGAAATGTGCTATACAAATCAACTTGCCTTGCATTATACTGGACTGTGGTGCAGAAACAGTGAGGCTTACATTTTCCTGTTGTCTGTCAGTGGTCATACTTGATGCACTAGATGTGATAGGATGAGATATTCTTCATTTACTTAGTCCAGATAAGCTAACCCTCCCAAGATGTAACAAAATGTATGATTTCAGTAAAATAATGAGTATGAGACATCATGTAGCACTTCATTTTTTGATGCGGTTGTTTAAAATTTTAAGTTTCTCAATAGAGTAGATGCTGGACCGTTGGCCAGTACGAGCACAGAAAGAGATGTTCAGCCAGCATCAGATACAAGCAGCTCAGACCCTAATGGAACAGTTGCTGCTCCACCAAATGACCCAGCAGATTGGCCCCCAGTCTTATCAGGCTTCGAGGTCTAAATCCGTGCACGGAGGTCCTTTCAAACCAGCACTGGATTTTTCTAGAAGAGGTTTACATTTAGGCTTCTTACAGAGACAGCATGGCGAGGAAGCAGGAGGAAACAGCTTGCTTGTCTCTGACAATTTTCAAAACTAAGTAGCGTGACTGCGCTGGTGGTATTTAAGGCTAGTACCAAAAGAAAACATTTTCCCACATTTTTCACACCTGTACGGTTTCTCTCCAGTGTGAACACGTCTGTGTTCCTTTAGTCCACTTGATGTAGTGAACATTTTCCCACATTGTTCACACCAGTGTGGTTTCTCGCCAGTGTGAACACGGTGGTGTAATTTTAGCTCACCTAGTGATCTGAAAGCTTTCCCACAATGTTCACACCTATACGGTTTCTCACCGGTGTGAACAAGTCTGTGTCTCTTTAGGCCACCTGATGTAGCAAAAATTTTCCCACATTGTTCACAGCTGTACGGTTTCTCTCCAGTGTGAACACGTCTGTGGTCCTTTAGGCCACCTGATCTAGTGAAACTTTTCCCACATTGTTCACACCTGTACGGTTTCTGTCCAGTGTGAACACGTCTGTGGTCCGTTAGGCCACCTGATCTGGTGAAACTTTTCCCACAATGTTCACACCTGTATGGTTTCTCTCCAGTGTGAACACGGTGATGTATTTTTAGCTCACCTAATGAACCGAACGCTTTCCCACAATGTTCACACGTGTGCGGTTTCTCGCCAGTGTGAACACGTCTGTGTTTTAAAAGGTAATCGAATGCAGTGAAACTTTTCCCACACTGCTCACAGCTGTACGGTTTCTCTCCAGTGTGAATACGTCGGTGTTTTTTTAGGGAACTTAATGTAGTGAAAGTTTTTCCACACTGTTCACACCAGTGTGGTTTCTCTCCAGTGTGACCACGTCTGTGTTTCAAAAGGCTATCAAATGCAGTGAAACTTTTCCCACACAGCCCACAGCTGTAAGGTTTCTCTCCAGTGTGAATACGTCGATGTTTTATTAGGGAACTTAATGTAGTGAAAGTTTTTCCACACTGTTTACAGCTGTATGGTTTCTCTCCAGTGTGAACACGTTGGTGGATTTTTAGGTGACCTAATGTTGTGAAAGCTTTCCCACACTGCCCACAGCTGTATGGTTTCTCTCCAGTGTGAAGACGTCGGTGGATTGTTAGTCCAGATGATGTATTGAAAGTTTTCCCACATTGGTCACAGCTGTACGGTTTCTCTCCAGTGTGAAGACGTCGGTGGATTGTTAGTCCAAATGATGTATTGAAAGTTTTCCCACAGTGGTCACAGCTGTACGGTTTCTCTCCAGTGTGAAGATGTCGGTGGATTGTTAGTCCAGATGATATAATGAATGTTTTCCCACATTGGTCACAGCTGTATGGTTTCTCTCCAGTGTGATGTTTCTGATGAATCTTTAAATAGCTTAATGTTGTGAAGGATTTGTCACAGAGCTGACAGCTGTGACGTTTGAGTCCCTCTCTTCCTTTCCGTTTCTAAAGCAACAGAGAGAGAAAGACAATAAGTTAGATGTTACGGTGGAGCGAGCTCTCTAGAAGAAGCCGACACTAATGAGACCAGTGTAAACCTATTTCTATCACAACACCAGAAGTCATTCATGCTGCAATTATTACAAAAATAAAGTAGGGTTTTTTGTGCAACCGTAGTTTACCATTAAATTATCATCCTGTGGCAGCATGTAGAACAGCTCAGCAACAGTGAAGGGAAGACAAGAAGAAGATTAAAGCTGCAAGCAGCGTTGGGCGGGCCCTCGCACTTGTAGCGCGTCCGGGTGTGAGCCGACCGCGTTGCATATTCTGGAGCTCTGCCGGTGCGGCTGTGAATTTGCTATGCGGTTCCGACGCTGCATGAAGGTGTTATATGTCACTTCCTGTGTCCCCTATGTGGAACTACATAGCACTTGCTGCTATAAATATAAAATCGGTATTGGCGTGTAGATGTCTTCGGGGTGGGAGAGTTATCAAGTACGTAAAGTTTTGTGTCATGACGAAGAGTTGATATTTGACGCCACGCCACGCCAAAAATGGCCATAAAATTCAAAATGGCCAACTTCCTGTTGAGTTTAGCATATGTGTTCTTGAGGCTTTTTTTTCAAATTTTTTAGGTGGCGCTAGCGAGTCATTTTGCCACGCCCATGCGCAAAACCCATAAAATATGAAATTTTTCACCACTTCTGAGATGTGTGCAAAATTTGGTGAGTTTGAGTATGTTTAGGCCCCCATAATTTGAGCTTACTTCACAGAAGAAAAAAAAATAACAAAATCTCGCACGGCCCGTGCTCGGGCCCTAAAAAGCAGCGCGACAGGTTCAGGATGGATGATACGTTGCTAAACAGATTATTTCACATGCATTTGCCCGTAAAATAGATACATGCAAACCAGAAAAATTATTTACGATGTGCGAGTAAAAACTGCAACCTACAGTTTTTTGTGCATGAATGGTTATAATTTTTTTGTACTTAGCATAAATTAATTACACACCGATGTAGACCGTTTTTCTTGCACAAGGATTTAATAAATGAAAACAACCTAGCTGGCCAATCACAGCGCAGTATAGGACTAGTTCTAACGGAGGTCTGACACTTTGATGGCTGCGCTCCATTGACTAATGTAACAGACGTCTTTGTCGAACTGTATTTTTTAAAGATCTGGTAGTGTGGAACCATCCATGTAATTTTAGTGTAATTTCATGAAAGAAAACCATTTTTTCCATACAAAAGAATTTCAAAAAATATGGAAGACAACACAAGGGTTAAGATAATTTGATAATTATTACTGTTGTTCGCCTGTTGGAGCAGCATATAAATTCACTGTTCTCACCCGCCATTCTGGCTCCTCTCAAAATGTCCAGGTAATTGTCATGTGATTTGTAAAACAAATCTTTGCTTCACGCTGTCATGTACAACTCCCAACATATTGGCCTCACATGCTTCAAAACAGTCTCAGAAGAGCCTTAAAGGAGACCTATTAAACTGCTCTTCCAGGCATATATTGTAGTTCTGTGACTCCTGTATGGCAGCTATGCATGATTGTTTAATACTGACTCTTCATATAGGGCTTCATTTCAGCTGCTCTGTGAAACAAGCAAATGCTTCCGTCTGTGTTAGGCCCCCCTCTCAAAGCCCACTGTCTTCTTATTGGCCAAGACCTGAAGCATGCTGTTGTTGCTGGGCAGAACAGGCAGACTGAGCCGTTGCTATGCCCAGCTCCGTCTGGCTCCGTATTACGGAGTCGTTGGTAGAAAAAGCAGTTCAAAACAGAGCGTTCAGAACAGGAGAAAATCTGAGGTTTTTGCTCACAGGCATTTCTTTTAAATACTTTAACCTCATTTTTTAAAGCTTTGGCCATTTTTAACATGAACATCCAACATTATAGCATTGCAGATGAAATGTGGAAAAGCATAATATGTTTCCTTTAAGACATAAAACAGGAAGTTGTCGTAACTTTGCTGTACATGCTCAGATCTCTACCAAATTTCACACATTTCATAAGACATCTACAGGTCAAAATTCACCCAACAACCACAATTCAGATTGACATGAAGTGTTCAGAACAGTCTCCTTTTATGTTCGGACGAAAGTGCAGGGCACCAACGGTGTCCTAGCACGAAGTGCAAGGAACCTATTGTTTTTTTCCTGAGATTTTTTTTCCCCCTCCCTGGAGAAGTAATTTTTGAGGGACTTAGGATGCTCAAATCCTCACGAAAATTTGCACACACCTCAGGTCTGGTGGGAAATACAATGTTCTGCAGTGACTGAAATGCGTCATTTTCAGATATTTGAGGCCAATCGGATGCTCAAAGAGCCACAAAACTTTGCTAGGAATGCTCGAAACCTCACAAGACTTGGCATGCACATCAAAAGTGTTTTTCATTGTCGATATGACTTGGGGGCGTGGATGTGGAAAATTGCCTCAAACAATAGATAAAGAGGAGGATAATGTTGAGAGCCTTCATGGAATTCATGTTGACTCCTAAATTAATATTACACAATTGAATGCAACAAAAACTTGACTGAAACATTATTAGAGCATCAACATAAACAGGTGAGTTATGCTATTCTGGAGAATAATACCACGACAAACACCGTGATATAGAGCAAGCAAGAGCAAGTATCGCTAATGTAACCAACGTTAGCTAAGCTGTGGGTTAGCAAACTGTTGCTACAGAGAACAGGACACTGAAATTAGCTTCACAGTTAAAAGGAGTTAAGGGAAACTTACATGGCCGAGCATCACTTATGGTTGTGAAAGCATGGTAGATTTTCAGGTAAACTTACTGCCATCTGAAAACGCACTTTCAAATTAAAAAACCTTTTATTACATTTGTGAAAATGCAAAAAATGTAACTTTTTTCACATCTAGACCACATTGGTCTGTAACCGTGCTGGATTTTCAGGAAAGATGGCCAGCTCTTTTCTGGGAACGTCGGGTAACTTACATAAAGTGCACATATTTAGAGCTATGGTATTAGGTTGATTTGATTGTTAATTGTTGTACTTTTCATAATGCGGTTTCACACATTCTTGTCACATGGTGTGTTTTTTTTACCATCTATTAGCCATCATCCGAGACACATAGAAGGATATTATTATTATTGCTGGGCTATGTTTCTGATTTTATGGGGGAGTGAGTGAGATCACTTTGTTTTGGTCAGGTTGCTACAGATCCTAAAGGTCAGTAAAGGGGTAGATTCAGGCACATTGTAATGGATCAGTATCGACAGAAATAACACTTTTTAAAATCCTATCACTGTACTCTATGTTGTTATGTTCACCTCAGCTTGCTAGCTTCACAGTGCTACTTTCCTTTATCACAGCCTACAGAGCAAGGTTTTTGCTTGTTTATGCAAGTGAAAACTACAATTGTGTGTATGTAGAAAATGATTTGGGCACACTGGTGCATCTGTTGTCTCCCCTGCTCCTCTTCTTCTTCTTCAGTATAATGATCACTCAACTAGTAGCTTCAGCAGATGGATGGGTCTTCATTTCAATTTCAAGAGTCACATTTTTTCATGATAAACATTCATTTGTATCCTAAATTCTTCAAAATTTATGAACTTTATATTTTTCAATCAGGATCTTCAGTTTTGGGATGTAGATGCTTGTGTAAAATAAGGCGTCGAATGTATTAGGCTTTAGCTGCATTACATCAGTGTGCCAGGTAGTCTTGTGCCAATTAGAGATGGGCTATCAAAGATTAAATGGGATGATCAGCGATTGGTTTATCATGCGCCGATATTAACTAATTCACTATCAGAACTAAGATGAAATAAAAACAGTCTCTTGAATCTGCACCCCACTGCAGTGTTTCCAATTCATTGCTTTATTTGTGGCGATACAACACGTCACAATATCAATGCTGACTGCCGCATACTAAATACTATTTACTATGAGTAAAGTTATAATTCATTGTGGAGCTGTGCATAGATTCACTCAGCACCTCCGCTTGCTTGCTCCCTCCTTCCCAAACACATTCGAGGTTAACACACACTCACACCGCCACAGTTACATGGTAATTCTGTGGGAAACACTATCCTGTGCATTTACAGATGTTTCTGGTGGTTTCTCTTAAAGCTAATAAGCCTGAAATTTCACTAGCATGCTGCAACGAACAGATCGCCAATCGGTGATCTCAAATAGCCATGATCAGACGACATGGAAATAGAGAAGATCTGGCTCAGCCAAAAATCTACAGCATATTTGGGACATCCCTAGTCTATAGAGAAAAACAATCATCACAGTCTGCAGCAAAGTGTACATATATACTGTTTGTATTTTAGCTTTTTGTTCTCAATATCAATGATATCAATGTGGAGCAGACTGCATCAAAACCATCATTACGATTCTCTATCTGAACTCATTTTAATCGGCCAGGTTCTGTAAAATGTCCACCGTGTCCGCGCCTTCTAACCCAATACAAGATAGCGTCTCTTCCTGTGTGTTTCTCTGCACATGTAAATTGCGAGCACTGTGTCTTCTAACATGTTTTAACGTGTGAGGCTGTGACAATAGCCGTTTACCGTCTGTGCCACTGTGTATGTAAAAGACACTTAGACTGTGTGTACCGTTAATTGTCAGAAAATCGGATATTGGATGCTGCTCGGACCCCTTTAGGGCCTATTAAGCTGAAAACTGGCCAATTCCAGTCCCCAGCCAATTGATTGGTGCCTCCTCCACATGCGACTCACTGTGACTGTGGATAAGCACCTCATACAGCCCCATTTCTAAAATTGCAAACAATCTCTTTAAGGTTAGTTTGGGCAGGAATCATTCCACCACTCTGAGTCAAGGTGAATGATCCAATGATTACTTTTAGCTACCTCATTAGACTTAGTGCTTGTATAGTTTTCATGCACTTTTACATAATTGCAACAGGTACAGTACTGGTGTTACAGCTGCCTTCATTTGTGGATATATATTCTTTCAAAGAAATAACCATTTCTTTTTTTGAAATAGCAAGCTTTCCTCGTACCCCCTGGTAAATGCAGAAGTACCCCTTGGGTACAAATACCCCTGGTTGGGAATCACTGTTTTGAATAAGTCATAATTCTTACAGGGTCTTGTTATGAAATGCTACATTCATATTTAAAGTATTGTCCATGATTGTGTAGCTGGTCACAGTCATTCATGATTATGAAGGTAAATATGTTGCAAAATGCGAGAGCTTGTGCACCAAAAAACAGAATTTTCCCTTATAGAAAATATTCACCACCCGGGTTATCAATGTGAAGTCACAGAAAAAAATATTCACAAGATTGATATTATCTTGATACATAAATACAAAGACCGCTGCAAACTGGTTTTGTGGCACATTTAAGGCTGAGCCAAGTTGAGCGAGTACATTTGTGAAGTTGCAGAGAAAAATCTGAGAGGTTGTAATCACCAAGTTGTGGCTGTATTGGAAAATGGACATGCAAAAAAAAAAAAAAAAAAAAAAAAAGGAAAAATAATAAATCTTGCATTACAAGTCTGCAGCTGTCTTTGTATTTATGTAAATATCAATCTACACATTGGTGAATATTCTTTCTGACTTCATATTCAGAACACGGGTGTGTGGATTGTTTCTGAGTGAAACTTTCAACAAACAAGTTAAGATGTATTTTCTACAAAGCACTAGTGTTTTATTTTATTTCTATGACTTCAAATTCAGCTCACGTTTGTGAATATTTTCTACAAGTGAAAAATTTTGCATACAGGTTCAGATACAAGTTCTCACACTGTATTCTACAAGTGTTCACATCAAATCTACAAGCTCTCGCAATTTGCACCATATTTACCTTCATACATGATGAGGCAATTTTTTTAGGGCTGACAAAAGTCCACGGTGTCGTGCTGCGGTTCCAAGAGGCAGAACCGTGAAATACCACTGGACTGTTCTCTGGAGTCATCTTATAAATAGGGAGGAGCAGTGGCTTGGTGTATAACGTAGTTTAACTATTTTAATTCTAGTTAATTCTCCACCTTATTTTAGTGTTTCCTCACTACTTGAATCTGCTCTTCCCGTCTCTTTTGCCCACACTCACATACACACCTCCACCTCAGATCTCTCACTGCAAACACACCGGCGTGCCCTGCCTGACGACACCAGATTGAAATTTGAAGCAAAATTTATGTATTGCTATTAAATGTACTTAGGACATAACAGTAAATTGTTTTGTAAACTTACAAGATGCTTCTTAATCATTCAACTTAAACTTTCCATGTTCTGCTCCAGCCTCATTTTTGCCTCCCACTATATTCATTAAGCCTTCATACAAAGTTTATCACTACTAGAGGCCTAATATTCATTGTAGGTTGCTTTCTTTTATTAAATGCTTGTGCAAGAAAAACAATCTACATTGGTCTGTAATTTATTTATGCTAAGTACTAACAAAAATAAACGATTAATTCACAAAAATTACTGTAGGTTGCAGTTTTTACTCGCACATCGTAAATAATTTTTCTAGTTTGCACGTATCTATTTAGGAGCAAATGCATGTGAAATTCTCTGTTTAGCAACACATCATCCGTCCTGAACCCGTCGTGCTGCGTTTCTTCTTCTACTTTAACGGGAGGGTTGAAAGTTATGCACGTTACGGTGGTAGCTACTTAGCTACATGCTAAAAACACTGCAGGTACTCCAAGCACGACTTGACGGCTCCTGACCAATCCCCTAACGCCCACCCCCTAACATATCTACACCAATCACACACAATAAACCTGAAATGAACATGAACAACCAATGAATGCCCCGTATCCGTTACACGATTTTAGATCCCTTGGTACAGCGGGGACCAATTTAAGTGTGACACACAAAAAAACAACACTGATCTGTGCTTGTAAAATGTCCACCGTGTCCGCGTCTTGTAACGTAATACCAGCTTACATCTCTGTGTTGCTTTAATGATAAAATGTGTTGTCCACTATACTTTGGCAGCTGTGAATATATCCGGGCAGCCCGTCCGAATAAAGTACGTGTCGAGAACACTGTATTTAAAGTTAGGGTGAGCTGTAGGCCTATATTTTGTAAATATTACACCTATTTTATTGTCTTTCAACGTCACTGCGTTACTATTTTGGTCCAGTCATGATTGATTGATCATGCCTGCAAGTTAGACTGTTTTAATTAACCCAAGATAGATGATTATGATAATGTTCTGACCATTAAAATGTATTAATATGATACTGCAGTGTCATTATATTGGATTGTGATTGTCCTGGTCAACTACCACTGGTCTATGAGGAGTTTACATGAGATGTGATGTTCTCTCCGTCTCTATTTGGCTCCAACCTTTTGGTAATGCTAAATAATGTATTCATTTATAGTACTGAGGTGTGTGTGTGTAATTTAATCAAAGTTGTAATTGTAAATTTTGGGGCATATTTTCCAAGAGGGTCGATCACTGCTGACAGTAAAGATGTAAGCATGGTGCCATTCCATCCCTGTGAAGTCAAGGTCTTCCTCCAGGATCAGGTTGTCTTTCACTGGACTGATTGTTAGCCTGCATGTACTCCTGTTTTTGTATGGCTGCATGTCCTCCAGCCTGAGTACTCTAAAGGCTTGACCTATGATTTCGAGTTCATTTAGAAATCCTGCTAAATGTGGATGGAGTAAAACTGAAACCACCAAACATTGTCTATAAACTACAAAAGCAGTGTAAGAAAAGTCCTTGCAGATATGTTGAAATTATGCTGTTTTGTTGATAAGATGTTAAGCTGTTATGGCCCTGACTGTGGCCCTGACTGTGGCCCTGACTGTGGCCCTGACATCAGTGCAGCGTCATGTTGGATTCTACAGTTTGCTAAATAAAAAAGACCCTAATGTCCAGATTTCCTCTTACATAACCATGCGTATAATAATAACGCAGGCAGTCTGTTTGTCACTGTGACAAACTCACCAACACACGAGGAAATATAATGACTCCCGACACAACACGGGCTGCACCGCGCATGCGCCGCGCGGAAAACTCCCAGAACAAAGAAAAGAGAAACGCTCGTGAGTTTTTCTTTCAGCTTCCTCTCTTCAAGATGAAAACAGGAACCACGGAGACACTTTGGAAATCAAACCACGTCAACACAAACCCTGGAGCGGGTTTTCAGGCTCTGATCTCTAACAACAGAATGAACGGATGATACACGGACCCTCGAGACTCTTCCTCGTGTCTTTAGTCTCGTGATGAAGTCATGAACACTGACCTGAACATCGGTGCTATCAGAGCACGAGGCTGCTGTTTGGCTCCTGTGGTCCGGGTTCTGGTTCTCCATCGTCCTGCAGGTCTCCGCTGTGACTGGTGGACCGTGTTGTCCTGGACTGAGTCTGGATTCTGGTCTCGGAGCTCTTCAGGCTGCGGGCCTTTCCGGAAGTAGTTCCTCTCCGTTTGCGCGTTCACGCTGAGGGTCCTCATAGACACATATTGAGACAGACGCACTATCGACCGCTACTGACGCGGACGAGCCGTTGGGCCGCCATCTTGAACCGGTCACCCGCTACACTCAGTGTAATCTGTTCGGCAGCGCATTTATTTAATCAAACCTCACTGATTTTCACGTCATACATGTAGCTATGACACAGGATACATGGTTCGGCGTATTTTAATATTCATAGTGAGCTCAACAGTGTAGAATATTCTGATATATGACATAAAGTGACCAGACGTCCGAGATCAAAACTGGGAACATAATCCCCGAAAAGGGGGAAAAAACGGGGACATCTATTTTAAATTAATAATATTACTTCTATACAGTTTTTTCTGTATTTAGCCAGGGTCAGACAGCCAATAACAGGGACTGTCCCTGAAGCCGGGGACGTCTGGTCACCCTATGATATGTGATGTAGGCTATGAAAGGTAAATCACACACCATAAATATGATACTGAAGCAGAAACAGATAGTGATATTTTAATATTTGAACCAATACAATATATGATTAAATCATATTAGTCTACTTGAAGCTTTTTATATTTGTCCCTCTCTGTCACACACACGCTGTACTAACACGTTCTTCTGCATCCATCTCCTCCCAGCTCTTGACATTTAGCAGCCCAACACACTCAGGCACACACGAAAGCTTTGCATGAGCTAAAACCCCTAAAGAGGACTGTTTTGACCCTCTCTGCAGTTCTCAGCACCTTTTACAATAATAATAAAAACATAATACGTTATATTTATATAGCGCTTTACACAGTGCTCAAAGACACTTTACAGAACAGAGAAAATAAGAACAAAGCAACCTTAATATACAAAGATAAGAAGATTAACAAAAAAAGTCTCAGTTCATAACCGGGTGAACACCGGCCGGTACAGTAAACATAGCCTGGCTAGCTGGCTATGTGATATCAAAGATCCTTGCTCCTTCTCAACTCCCTGGTAATATTCTATTCACAAAATACAACCAATAGTACGTTAAATCTTACTTGTGAAAAGTATCCCCGAGCCCTGTTTGCGAGGTCTGTGTGACTTCGCCTGTAAACATGTAGTATTTTTAAATGCAGAAACTACACTAACAAAAATGCTCTTGCCTTATCAACAATATCACTTTTTTTATTGAATCTTTTCATCTAATACGAAAATCTTCAGCCAAAACAAAACCACAGAATAAGAGAAGATTCACAGGGGGATCAGTAACAAGCAACAAAGGCACTGAAGAAAATATTTACATCTTCACACATTTTTACTGTTATAATTAACTTTTCTTCAGACCAGAAGATGCTTCAAAAAAATGTTTGATTTCTATTTTGAAATGTTATTTGTGGTTTATTTTTGGAGGATTTGTATTTGTGAATGTAATAATTTTCATTTAAGATAATGAGGCTCAACATGAAAACACATCTTTTTAAACTGGCATATCCAACGTGTGATCACTGTTCATCTGGTCACTGCAATCATTTGTTTCCAACTGTTCATTAATTAATGAAGTTATTTTAGTTTTTGCTATTTTTATTGATTTATTTATAGACTGTTGTTTTAATGTGTTTTGTGATCTTGAGTTCAGAAAGGCGCCTCTACATAAAATGTATTATTATTATTAATAATATATAGCCTAGTCTTTTACTATCAATATCAATCGTCACTTTTTCATAAATTAATAGCTGAACCAGTCAACGTCTTAAAGAAATATTTAAGTTGGTTTAGCGCCGTCAGACTGCTGTGATGATTTTACTGAAGTCAGCTGTTCTGATCAGGTTTGAATGATCTTTATTGTTACTACACAGCTTTAATATTTTTGCTCACATGCTGTTTATTCCATAATAAACTGGCGTTTAATCAAATAACAACCTTACTGGGCTGCTGATCTTCCATTATAGCAGGACTGGTTGTTTCTATTAAAGGTAACAGGACACAAACCCTCTGCACACAGTTTGCTCCTCCAGTGACTTTAAAGTGAAAACTATCATCTGTTGAACAAACTGAAGCTCCTCTGCTGCCTCCTGCTGGCTGCTTCCTGTCACTGTCAGTCTGTTCGTCCCTCAGGACAAACTGGAGAGCTCCTCACAAAACATTCACATTAACACAACAGCTACATTTACTACACTGCTGTACTCAAGTACAACACTCAGGTACTTGTACTTTACTTTCTACTTCTACTCCACATCTCAGAGGGAAATATTGTATTTTTACTTCACTACATTTATCTGACCGCTTTAGTTACTAGTTTTTTTTGTTTTATAGTATTGAAAGTTTTCTGGTTCAGGATATAAATCCACCACACCAGACTCCACTACTCAAAACATTAATTTTAATGTTTGTTAATAATGATGAGATTTGGACACAACAAGCATTGTGAAGGTGTCACTTTGGGCTCTGGGTAACAGTGAAAGCATTTCTAAACATTTACAGAATCATTATAAACCAAACAATCAGTCGATTAATCGATATAATAATCTGCAGATTGATCCATAATGAAAATAATTATTAGTTACAGTCTGATACAAAATGAGCTACAGCAGGAAAATCCTGCTTTTACATTAGTGATTCATCAAAATAAAGAAACTTCATATGATTAATATTTTTATTGGTGCCCTGCCCTCCAGCTTCTGCGCCCTGCCTGTCCCGACTGCCGACCCACAGCCTGGGGTTTCCCAACGTCTCTGCTTTTTCTCTAACATCTCACAGCGAGAGGTTGAGGACATCATCAGACAGATGACCCCTTCCCCACAGCTCTGGTAAAGGTCATTAACGTCTCCCTCCAGACTGGCCATGTTCCACTGAAAACCACCGTCATCAGGCCACTTCTCAAAAAACCCACCTTAGAAGTCTTTGCCAACCACAGGCCCACCTCAGACCTTCCTTTCCAAGGTGCTCGAAAAAGTAGCTGCCTCCCAGCTTCAGGTCCATCTAAAACAAAACCACCTGGCCACAGCACAGAAACAGCTCTGCTCAGGGTTACAAATGACCTGCTGACGACGGCAGACGGTGGCTCCCCGTCTCTTCTCATCCTCCTGGACTTGACTGCAGCTTTCAACACAACATCCTCCTTCACCGTCTACTAGGGCTGAACAATTTTTGAAAATAATCTAATTGGGATTTTGTGATTTAGTATGCGATAATTTTTTAAAGCTCTTCAGTTTCTATATTATTCACAACAGACGAGCAATATATCAGACAGAGTCCATAACTGGTTTTCCCCCTGACTCACCGGGAGAACTGAGCATGTCGCCCTGGGAGAGGCTGAATCCCCGACACACAACGTGATCACTGAGAAAAGCCTCCAGAAGCTGCAGTACGTCCAGAACAGCGCTGCTAGGATCCTGTTGAAGGTGCGCAATCTGCCTCAGTGTATCTCCTGAATCCTCCCAGGACCAGGCTCCATACATCCACAGACTGGGAGCTTTTAAACATGGCCTTAAAACCCACCTTTTTATTTTAAACTCTTGCTTTTTTCTTTGCTTTAACTTTGTTTAAACATTACAAATAAAATGTATTATTATTATCATCAATTACAAATCAAAGCTGCTCGTTCAGCCACTAAACGTCAGTGATTTCCTGTCAGAGCACAGCAGCATCCAGAGAGAGTAAAACAATGAAGGAAAGGGCAGAAGATGGAGGAACAGCAGCACTCTGTTCTCTTTATTCTTCATCTTTATTGGTCTGTCTGCTTAATGAGCAGCAGGTGGCGCTCAAACACAGTCTGACTCTTCAACAAAACCTCTGGAAGCTGTTAGACTCTGAAGAACTGAGAGTGAAAGTCTGGAGGTTTCTTTTGACCCCAAACAGACTCAGAGGCCAAAGAGTGGGCTTTTGTTTTCCACAAGTGATGCAGTTCATTAGAAAACATGATATTTAATAAGGAATGTGAGAGTGAGAAGACGATAAAGAGGTTTTCCACCTTTGTAAATCAGCTTCCACCGCTTGTTTTGGTGCTGCTGCACAGACGACATCAGAATCTGAAGCAGGTTAGAAAGAAAATGTTTATTTCTGCACTCTGAGGATATGTGAGTTATTCCTACAGACACTTTATTTTATTACAAGCTATGATCAACTTTCTGCTCAGACTTGTTCACATTTACCTGTTTTACTTTGTTTTCTACTAAAGAGCCTGAACGCACCATCTAGGCTACAACCAGTGGCGTCTTTGAAATATTTTCCTTAGAGAAGAAAGTCTTTGAGGAAGTCTTGACTTCATGTTTTATTTTGTTAAATCCTTCATGTTTCTTTGTGAACTTTATTCTTTCTGTTTCCTGTTTTACTTTGTTCCATTTATTCCATTCCACAATGAAAACAAATATCATGCTTATTGTAGAAAGACTAAATACTTTAAATGAAATAATAATCTTTATATTGATGTCAAAATGGGTATCTACAATAACTAATCCCCACTGTTGGCTAAAGCCGGGAATCCACTGACTCCGTCCGGCATGTTACGGACAGTTTTGATGCGTCCATATCTCCGAGTCAAAGTCCACTGGAAGCATGTCAGAAGCGTTTCAGCAGCTGAGCGTGCAGCCTGCCCCACCTTATTGACTTGTTATTAATTTGTCATTTTAGTGCTTCTACTACAGAGGTGGGCAATTAATTTTTACAAGGGGCCACATGAGAAACCTGAATTGTGTCAGAGGGCCACACCAACAATAACTTGAACTTAATTTATTCATCTCCACAAACAATGAAAAACAACAAACAGCTGAACAAGTTTATAGGAATACAGCAATACAACAAACAAAAACTTGTAATGTTTTCCACCTCATTTTACCTCTTCAGTGAGAATAATCCAGTCTGTTCTGGGCTTGAACAAGTGCATTGAAATCTGGCTGAATGTCTGAGGTGGCTATGCGAAGGACAGCTGAGAGGTGGTCATCAGTGATAGAGGATCTGTGTTTGGATTTGTTGAACTTCATCACTGAGAATGTCTGTTCACATACATAGGTAGATCCAAACAGGACAAGAAT